TGTGTGGTGCGAGGACATCGAGATAACGTGGCTGTCAAAGGCACTGTGAGATTTCTACTTTAACCTATGATTTTTCCATAATTGTTATGCAGCTGGAGTAATTACCATCCTATTTAATGAGCACAGCTCCTTTAACAGAGGACACTTGGGCTAACATGCACTAATTAAGTTTGTAATCACTACAAGTATGATTGAAGGTTTTGAACTGCCCAGCCGTTCTCAGTCATACCATAGTTAGAGACACTGCTGCTCATCAGAGCACAGGGGCGTCTTGATCCTGCCTTGGCTCATCCTTTTTACCTGATAGCCTGCATTGTTTTGGAGTGGTTTATGAACCATCCTAAATGCATTACTCTCAGTCCCATGAAGTGAATGCATTTCCAGTTTTATTTTAATGATTTGGCTTACAGGTCTTGTAAATCACCTGGGCATGAAGCACAGCTTCCCTCATCCCCATCTGTGTGACTGCTTGTCTCATGAGGCCCCAGCAGCAGCTGTGAATGGCTCCCAGGGAGCTCCAGCAGCAATAATTGCAGTGAGATACTGAAAGAACTTGGAAAACATAGCTGGAACCATAAAATAAACCTTTCTGCTTCTTCCTACAAAGGAAGGCTCAGAAAGGAGTGAAAAAGATCAGGAGTTTTCACACCCTAATGGATAAGGGAACCTGGCAGTCTGTTTCCTTCTGCAACACAGTGGAGGCAAACCTGCCTCTCAGATTCAGGTTTATCTTCCACTGAGCTTGGCTCTTTGGGTTATCAGGAAAGCCAGGCTTTCTCTCTGGTGCTGGCTGCAATTAGCTGGCCATGGAAATGCCTGAATATTTGAAGACCACAACTCCCTACAATGGAAAAAATTTAGAAACCCCATAATTTATAGTCAGAATTTTGTGTTTCAGGGAGGATTTTGTGGAGAGCCTCATGTTCCAGCTGCACAACGCCAGAAGAATATGGGTATTTTCATCTATGTTTACACTATTTGGTAATAACAGTGGCCCAGAGAGAAAAAAAAGACAAATACAGTTTTCAAGACTTTTCCCCATTTTTTAATAGGGAGAGCTTGGTCACAGCTATCCAGACTTGAGGCAGAGTAGCTCTGGAAGCAATCAGTCACTGACAAAAGGACCAGTTCTCTCTCCCATGTCCTGGTCCAGGGGCTTTGGTCTCTGGGCTGTTTTTTCCAGGGTGCGTTATTTTAGGCAATTCACTTGTGCCTCTCCTGTGAAAGGCAGTGCCATGAAAAGATGCACTGTTTTTCCATTCAACCACAATGTGGAAAAGCCTGGCCTTTTTCTTGCTCATTTTTCAAAGGTTCCCATCTGAAAGCACAGCAATCCTGCACTGGAATGCAGCAGTCTGTACAAAGATACAACCCAAATGCAGCAGTCTGTACACAGGTACAACCCAAATGCAGCAGTCTGTACACAGATACAACCCAAATGCAGCAGTCTGTACACAGATACAACCCAAATGTGGCCGTCTGTACACAGGTACAACCCAAATGCAGCAGTCTGTACACAGATACAACCCAAATGCAGCAGTCTCTGCACAGGTACAACCCAAATGCAGCAGTCTGTACACAGGTACAACCCAAATGTGGCACTCTGTACACAGGTACAACCCAAATGCAGCAGTCTGTACACAGATACAACCCAAATGTTGCAGTCTGTACACAGATACAACCCAAATGCAGCAGTCTCTGCACAGGTACAACCCAAATGCAGCAGTCTGTACACAGATAAAACCCAAATGCAGCAGTCTGTACACAGATACAACCCAAATGCAGCAGTCTCTGCACAGATACAACCCAAATGCAGCAGTCTCTGCACAGGTACAACCCAAATGCAGCAGTCTGTACACAGGTACAACCCAAATGCGGCAGTCTGTACACAGATACAACCCAAATGCGGCAGTCTGTGCACAGATACAACCCAAATGCAGCAGTCTGTACACAGGTACAACCCAAATGCGGCAGTCTGTACACAGATACAACCCAAATGCAGCAGTCTCTGCACAGATACAACCCAAATGCAGCAGTCTCTGCACAGGTACAACCCAAATGCAGCAGTCTGTACACAGGTACAACCCAAATGCAGCAGTCTGTACACAGATACAACCCAAATGCAGCAGTCTGTACACAGATACAACCCAAATGCAGCAGTCTGTACACAGATACAACCCAAATGCAGCAGTCTGTACACAGATACAACCCAAATGTGGCCGTCTGTACACAGGTACAACCCAAATGCAGCAGTCTGTACACAGATACAACCCAAATGCAGCAGTCTCTGCACAGGTACAACCCAAATGCAGCAGTCTGTACACAGGTACAACCCAAATGTGGCACTCTGTACACAGGTACAACCCAAATGCAGCAGTCTGTACACAGATACAACCCAAATGCAGCAGTCTCTGCACAGGTACAACCCAAATGCAGCAGTCTGTACACAGATAAAACCCAAATGCAGCAGTCTGTACACAGATACAACCCAAATGCAGCAGTCTCTGCACAGATACAACCCAAATGCAGCAGTCTCTGCACAGGTACAACCCAAATGCAGCAGTCTGTACACAGGTACAACCCAAATGCGGCAGTCTGTACACAGATACAACCCAAATGCGGCAGTCTGTGCACAGATACAACCCAAATGCGGCAGTCTGTACACAGATACAACCCAAATGCAGCAGTCTCTACACAGGTACAACCCAAATGCAGCACTCTGTACACAGGTACAACCCAAATGCAGCAGTCTCTACACAGATACAACCCAAATGCAGCACTCTGTACGCAGGTACAACCCAAATGCAGCAGTCTCTACACAGGTACAACCCAGCAAGCTTGGGCGACCTTGGCTCTTGGTTCCCCTGTTTCTTTTCACGCTTCCCCATGGCAGATGCCCCAGTCCATAACCACAAATGCCTCCCTGTGGCATCACCACTGGCAGCCCCACAGCCAGCACTGGGGCTCCCTGACAGCCAGTATCACAAAGCTCCCTGTGGCTGGGGTAGCAGAAGCTACCACGAGACTTAATTCCAGCCCTTGGCCATGAGCAGGTGGATCCAGTCCCCTCCGAGTGGGCTGCCTGTGCCAGCAGCGCCTGGCCTTGCTGTCATCAAAGGAAAATCGCATTAGTGTTCTGGTTCAGGGGGCACCTTGGCAGAGCAGCTGCACCGTGGGTAGACACAGTTTTGTTTGCCCATCTTGGTGACCATTTTACTGTCTTTCAGGTACTAAATTGTCTAAGTCTTGGGTCTGTATATTTTGCAGGAGTGAGACTTTCACCTTGTGGGCCAGTGCGGCCAGGCACGGTCAGGCACAGCACGGATCACCCTGTGGAGCTGCCGGTACACTGGGCCCAGGAGCACCGTGTTTGGGGGGTCCCAAAAGTGGCGGAGCCAAAGCTACTTGTTGTCAGGGTTTGAAAATGAACAGAGCTGTTCACAGCCTTTCTGCAAGGGCTTGTGTTCCATGCAAATGAGCGCTTAATGAATCTGCTGTGAGGAAAATACGCTCTGTGTGATCTGATTCATAGAATCACAGGCTGCAGTGGGTTGAAGGGACCTTAAAGCTCACCCATTCCAGCCCCTGCCACAGGCAGGGACACCTTCCACTAGAGCAGCTTGCTCCAAACCGCGTCCAGCCTGGCCTTGAACACGTCCCTGTGCCAGGGTGGCGATGTGAAGGGTTAACCGATAGGTCAAGCTGCTTGCTTAAGTGTTACTACTTGCTCATGCTTATCGTACTTGCAGTGTACAAGGGGATAGATCAAGCCACTTGCTTAACGATGTTACTGCTCGGTCATGCTTACCGTACTCGCCGTATATGCTAGAACCTTGTGTAAGGACATGGCTGTTGTTAAGAGGTACGGACTGTGACTTGATTCCTGTCCTTTCAACACCCAGGTTGGCTGAAACTGGCTCTGCACTTTGGACAATGACCAAGCCTCCAGGGAGCACGTGTAACGACTAGGGGTGAAAAGGTCAGGCTCGAGGAAGACTCATTGACTTCATCTTGAGACCCTCACCCACGACCACTAGGGTGCACTGCGCAGGCACAAAGGACTTCTTAGCTCATGAATATGTATAGGCGTGTTGTGCAACCTCATGCATATGTATAACTTCAGAGCATAAATGCAAAGGGGAGACGACGCTGAGGTGTGCATGCCTTTGGAGGAGCGATCCCCCATGCGCCTCAGCGCTGAATAAAGCATCCCTGCGGTACAGCTTTAACGAGCTGTGGGGTCTGTCTGCGCATCAGTGGCACGGACAGCTGAGCGTGCAGGGGGTTCTGGCTGAGTTCAGCTGCCCGTGGGCTGGGGCCCCGTGCTTCCAGCGATGCAGCAGTGTCACCAAGCACCGTGGTGCCGTCGGGTCCCGGGGCCGCCCGGCCCGCACGGTGCTGTAATGGCGGGGAACCTTGGTGGGGGGACGGACTGTGTCGGCGAGGAACCGTGTTATAGGGGAACTCTGGGAGTGCGGGACCGTGTTGTGGGGGAACCATGTCGCTGAAGGACCGGGGTCCGCCACATCGCTGGGGCCGCGGAGCCGTGCTGCTGCGGGTCCTTCCCCACTCGCGTGGCCGGGGCGGGAGCGGAGGCCGCAGCCATCGGGGCCGGTACCGGTGCAGGGGCCGGGCACAAACGGGCGGTGCGGGAAGGGGAGCCGAGAGGTGCGGGGCTTCCGGGCGGAACCTCCCCGTGGCGGCGCTTGTTGCGCACCGGAGCCGGCGCGCAGTTCCGTTCCCAGCAGCCCCCGCGGTGAGCCGTTCTCTTCCGGCTCGGCGGCAGCGGCGGTGGGTGTCCCTCCGCTCCATCCGGCTCCATCCGCGGCCCCCGGTCCGCAGGGAGAGCCCGGGCAGGGCCCGCCGGGCTCGGGCTGTGCTGGGCAGGGGGCCGGAGCGGCGGGGGGGGGCGAGGAGGCTGTGGGGATGGGGGATGAGGATGGGGAATGAGGATGGGGGATGGGGGGAGCCGGGCTGAGCCGTGCTTCTCTCTCCGGCAGGTGCAGCCATGGCCAAGTCCAAGAACCACACCACGCACAACCAGTGTAAGGCGGGGCCTGGCGGCTCCGGGGGGACGCGGTGGGGGCCGCGCTCCGCTGGGGGGTTTGAAGGCGCTGCTCGGTGCCGGCAGGCCGGTGTTCTGCCTTACGTGTTTGGTTCTCGGGGGGAGAAGGGGGGGGCTGAGCGGGGCCTTCGAGAGAAGCGTGGCTTGTTTGGGCTTCATGTGTTTGAACTAAGCACGTTGCCGAATGGCGCTGAGCCTGTGATCCTGTGGCATCCAAAGATGGCCACAGTGGTAAAAGAGCTCTTGTTTGGGCTTTACTTCCATCGGTGCTGTAAGTTAGGAGAGTTCACCACACACAGTAGGTTCTGCTTGGGCGTGCACAGTGGCGCCTCAAGTACAAGTGCTTGAGCTGCTTGATAGCTGAGGCCCCTTAGTGTGCCTGTGGTGATGCTGCCGGTATATTATTAGTTGATGAGGAGCCTGAAGTCCTTGGATTAGAAGCCCATAGAAATGCAGAGGGGTGAGATCAGAGGTGTGTTATTAATTTGTATTTACTTTGGATGGGAAGGGTTAGAAAACGTTCTATTCACCATCGTTTTGGTGGGGTCATCTGGACTTAAATGGGAGGTAATGCAACACCGGTAACTTGTTTTCTTGTCTTTGTTCATAGCCCGTAAGTGGCACAGAAATGGCATCAAGAAACCCAGATCCCATAGATACGAATCTCTCAAAGGGGTGAGCATTTCTGTTGATATTCCCATGCTGTTACTTTACTGAGTCTTAACCATGGAAAAAAGTCCAGTATTTGTATTATTTTGAGTGGTGTATTTTTTGCAGGCAGGGGTTTGTGTTTCAGGTGGCCAGAACCACTGCAGGTTTCTGGTTTGTCTTTTGCTCACCTTCCGTGCAGCTGTGATATTTCTGACCCATGTGAAATCCACCCTTGTGTGTCTGTTATACTGCTTCTTACCTATTGGCCAGTTTTGTCTCTGTCCTGCTCGGGTGGGTGTCACTGACTGCTGCTTCATGTGAAACAAACCTGTGTCAGTTGGATAGCTCTTCTCCCTCTTTAGTCCTGCTCCCTCTCCTCCTTCCTGTACACTTCACTATTATTATCCTGTATTTACTATTTACTGTTGTACTCATCCAGAGAATTTCAGTCTGAAGATTAGAGGAATTGGCATTTCTCTCATACATATGGAAATGGCAGCATTATGCTTTTTTTGAGATTAGACAAGTGATATAACAGGATTTTCTTCCATACTTGAAAGTGAAGACAGGACATTTGGGGAGGGTTGTCATTCTGTTTGCTTTCTAGGGCACTTCTCATATGAAAACAGGCTGAGAAAGTTGGGGCTGTTCAGCCTGGAGAAGAGAAGGCTGCGTGGAGACCTCATAGCAGCCTTCCAGTATCTGAAGGGGGCCTATAGGGATGCTGGGGAGGGACTCTTCATTAGGGACTGTGGTGATAAGACAAGGGGTAATGGGTTAAAACTTAAAACAGGGGAAGTTTAGATTGGATATAAGGAGGAAATTCTTTAAGGGTGATGAAGCACTGGAACGAGTTGCCCAGGGAAGCTGTGAATGCTCCATCCCTGGCAGTGTTCAAGGCCAGGTTGGACAGAGCCTTGGGTGAGATGGTTTAGTGTGAGGTGTCCCTGCCCATGGCAGGGGGGTTGGCACTGGATGATCTTAAGGTCCTTTCCAACCCTAACTATTCTGTGATTATTGGCTTTTTGGATGTGATGTAAAAGCTTGTTTTCTGCATAGCTCGGGGAGGGTGCGGCTCCCTCCTGCAGACACTGCTGCAGTCTCTGGGTCTGTCTCCTTGCGCTGAGCATGAGTTAAGATGACAGAATCCCAGTACTTGAGTGCGCTGGTTAAAAAACTATTCACAGTAAAATAGAATATAGAATGGTTTGGGTTGGAAAGGACCTTAATATCACCTCGTTCCAGCCCCTGCCATGGGCAGGGACACCTCGCACTAGAAAAATAGCCAAGTGTTTATCAATGCAAGAGCAGTTGATAGTTCTGAGAATGGGTCCTGGCTGCTGGAGGTTTTGGCTTGCCATTAGCTGACAAGAAAACTGGGCAGCTGCTGTTCTGTGCTGGCATTTTTTTTACTTTAATGTGAAAAGGAAATGCCTGAGGAAGTGGCATTGGTCTTCACCCAGGCATTCCGTGTGTGTGTGCTCACCTGCCGAGGCTGGTTTGTGGTACTTCGGATCCAGAACATACTGTGTCATGGGAATGAAACTTGGCTTGTTTACAGCTTTACTCAACTTGTAATTTCTGTGTGCTTATTGCTGAGGTTTTGTGTGAGTTTGGTTATGGAAACGAAGGGAAATAGCCAGTTAAAGCATGGTTACAGATAGCTAAAAGAATTTTGTTGATGTAATAAATCAAAAAAACTGAATTAATCACAGCCAGCATTTGGGAGTAATTGGAACAATCTGGAGATTAAAGTGTTTTTACTTATGTCCCTTTTACAGTATGGCTTGTTTTTTCCTCGTAGGTTGATCCCAAGTTCCTGAGGAACATGAGATTTGCAAAGAAACACAACAAAAAGGGGCTGAAGAAGATGCAGGCCAACAATGCCAAGCAGGCTGCTCAACAGAAAAAGGACTGACGTGGTTTAAGACAGCCAGTTTTCCTATAAGCATGCGTGTTACAGCATTTTTATAAGAAATAAAATTGGATGTAACAAAGTCTTTCCCTCCCAGACTTGAGGAGAACCCTCCAGAAGCCTTCTTTGATTTGTATTTTAGATGCCAGTTGTGCATCAGGCCTATGTGTAGTGACCAGTGTGTGGTTTTGTTCCCTGTCAGATGAAGCCAGCTGGAGCTGTAGAGAGGTTTTGTGTTGTCAGCCTCCAACAGGGAAAGTAAACTACATGCTTCCTCCTCAGAGCTCTTATACTGTGGCTGTTGGTACAGGTCATGAGCATTTGGTAGTTCAGTCTGTTTTCAAGTTGTGAAATGCTTATTACGTGAAGCTGTAAAATTTAAACAAGAAACAACTTATTTCCATACAAAGTGAAGCCAGTGTTGCCTGGACTTTTGGGTGATAGTGTTCAGTACAGGTAATGTTATTTTTGATACTGGTGTGCATGTTCAGCTTGCATACTGTGTTTTTTATGATAGTCCCTAGTGGTGCTACAGCAAGGTGAGATCTCCAGGGGCTGTTGTGTGTTTGCTGTTACACTGTCCAGGTAGGGTAGCTACAGCTGTGAATACCTTGAAAAATGGGAGGGTAGTGAGTGCTAGCTGTGGTGTTAGAAATAGCAATTAGTGTTAGAATTTGTGTGTGTTGTATTCTGAAATAACTTGGAAGTATTGAAGCGTTAATGGAGCTACCATAGGGACGTGTAAGGGGTTTGGACTCTATGAAATAAGCGTATTTTTCATAGAGACTGTATTTTAGTGGACTTCTTTCATTCCAGTAACAAAAAAAGTACCTATCTGAAATGTGCTGACTGATGGGGAAAGGGGAGTGACATTCAAAAGCCCGAGAGGTACAGGGTTTTGTTACTGCTGTCCTCCTGCAGGTCAGGAGAAGGCTTCACTCTCCCCACCCCCCCCAGTGAGTAAAGCTGGTTCAAAAGGTGCTTTTTTATTCACGAAATGAGCCGCCCGTTAAAATGCAACGAACTGTTCCTGAAACTGTAATTCCAAAGCTTGTCCACCCGGTGGTGTCGATCCACAAATCACAAGGGCTGGATGTGTGCAGCTATCTTCTGTCTGCAGTAGAGCAGCAAAACACCTGCTGGCTGCAAGACGTAATCAACTGAGACATCCAGTTAATGTATTTATTTCTTAATAGTTAAGCCAATTGCCAAAATGCAGCGTTATTTTGAAAAAAGGTAAATACTTTGAGTTCTTCATGGCTTGATTTCGAAAGTCTTTTCCCAGTTCCCACTTTTGAGTTGGTTTTAACTAATGAAAAATACCGCCCAGCCCTGAACCAAGCAATCTGCAGCCCTCAGCTGCCTGATTCGTGCTGTTTGCATCTCCTGGACTGTTGTGGATGTTGGTGTTTGTCAGTTGAAAGAATTGAATTGCTGTGTGAGAGCAGCATGCTGCCTGGGAGGGGTTCTGTGCTGGAGAGAGCTACAGTCGCAGGGTTCATACCACCAGGTAGAGTCTGCTAAGTAGTCAAAGCTGGTCTGGTCCCTGCTGCACTCGGGTACACCAGAGGGTCAATGGGCAAGAAGGTGCTCATGGTGTTAATCCTCCTTGGAGAGTGTTCTGTGGCAAGTGGTGTTCACATGTGAGACGTGCACAGCATTGAAACCCTGCTGGCCTCAGTGGTACCTGAGTGTGGCTATTGGAGGTGTCGAGCTCTGTGGCCGCTGCCTGCCTGGCTTGGGTGAGTTTGTCTACAAAGGTGATGTGTAGCTGTGGTTCAGGTTAGCATGCGTGTCTCATAGCCCCAGCTGCTGGCTCAGAGCTGCTCAGCAGCCCTCACTAGGGCTGACAGACCTAGCACAGGGCGATACCCTTTGGGTTGCTGCTGGTGTTGGAGCAGGCAGCGTGACTGGTCCAGCTGTGTCAGTGAAGGTCAGTCCGCTGCAGATGCGTGTTGTGACAAGGAGAGTGAAAGGAAAAGCCTCTGAACAGAGGACTTGGTGTCTGTCAGGATACACCTTCCCCTGTGTGTCTGCAGATCTCCAGCCTGGTTTAAATTCCACATTTTAAGTCTAGCATTAAGACTTTTTTTAATCTAAAAGGTAAAATTTCACCTCTAAACCGCCTTGGTGTCTTGTGTTATGACAGTAGCTCACCCACAGGATGTAGTTTGGGGGAAGAGAGAGGCAAGGGTCAGGCTGAGAAAGAGATGTTGGCACATTAACGAGAAGCAGAGGGAAAGATTTGGGCTTCCTGTGGCTCCAGGCAGCTCCCCTGGGCCCGCGTTCAGGAGGAGCCTTTTCATCTCTGCCCTTCATGCTGCCCTTCAGTGGGACAGCTTCCCAAATATGGGCTTGCTGACTTTCTGACCAAAATAGCGGCTGCGTGACAAAATGCAGCGGAGAGGAACGTAACCTTAATCCAGGCATCATTGTGTAGCAAGAGACAGGAATTCTGTGAGCTTCCACAGCAGCTTGGTGTCAGGTTTGTTGTTGTCTGCTCCCTGCGCACGCAGGGGTCCCGCAGGACTGCCCAGGCGTCAGTTATCACCTATTGCATTTTCTAACCCTGAGGCAGCTCAGTCCACAGCTTCCTTCCTTCTTGCAGAAGTTGCCCCAGCTCAGATGGGAAGCTGCAAGGGGAATCTGTACTGACATGGCCTCCTGGTGCATCTTCATCCTCTTTCACTTGCCTTGTGAAATCATTTGAGTTTTGTTGGTCAGGTGAGGCCAAAGATCTTTTTTGGGAGGATTACGTACAGAGCCCAGGAGACGGGACTGGCAGCTGTGGTCTGTTTGAAACTGTTCCCATTATGCTGTGCTCTGCCATCTTTGATGTTTAAAAACTTCATAATTCTCATTACTAAGGCCTTGGTATCCTGTAGGAAGCCAGTGAGCTTAAGAGCATCTCTGCTCAGCTACTGCAGCGCGTCAGGTTCTATGTTCCGTGCGTGCTGCTGCTGTATGTCGTACTTGGTGCAGATGATTCTCCCATTTGTAATTAAGAGGACTGTATCAGGTTCCAGTTTGGCTCCTTTTTTCCAATTTGAAAAAAAAAGGAGCAAAGGTTGTGTAACCAAATACGGGATCAGCTCTTTTGGCAAAGGTGAGCCATTGCGCTGAAAGCCGAGAGCACCGCCTGGAGAAGGGAGATCAGAGCGCTGTGAAACGCTGTGGTGGGGCAGAGTATTCACTGCAGGCAGGCTGGGCTGGATACGTGGTGCTCTGTCCCCCTTTACCACCTTTGGTAGTGTGTTCAAGCAGGAAGCAGCAAACAACACGAGTTCTGCTTTGCCCGGTTTGTGAGGATGTTGCCGGAGTTCCCGCACAACAGGGGTTTTGGTGCTCTGAAATGTTTATCCGCTGTACCTTGGCTCACGGCATACTGCTGCTCCCCTGCTGGCCCACGTAGAACTGTAGGTGAGATGCAGAGGTTTTACCAGGGAGGTGTGTACAGAATGTCCTCAGACCTTCCTGCAGTCACTTAATGCACCCAGCAGTTTTGGAGGGCTGAAGAGAGGTCTCGAATGTACTGAGAAAGCTGCAAACCAGGGCAGGAGTGAAATCCACTGGCAGCAAATGCAGGTAGATCAAATGGCCTGGAAACTCTGTGTCTGGTAGCACGTACTGCTGCCACTTGCCAGCACAGCTCCTGTCTCGGCCTGGGGGTTCAGAGCACACGGGTCTAGGCACTGCTTTCAAGTGTAGTAAACGGTGTATTTTTTTGCCTGACTTTAAAAGGATTATTGTTTCCCTGAGGTGCGCTTTTCCCCAGTGGAGCACATGGACACGTGGCATCTTCCTCAAAGGCTTCAGGCACCGCAAGGTCACTGCACATGCAAGGGAACCTGCAGAATTGGTTGAAGTTGCGTCGATACGCGGGTTCCCCCTGCTGGGTTTCATTTACCATTTGCACATCTCCAGACCCACGCTCTCTGTGGAGGCTTTAACTGCTTCAACTTCTCTGGGGACTTCAGCTGATCCTGTTCTGGCTACTGGCTATTCAGCTGCCTCGCCACCTCACTGGCCTGTCATGTTGTGTTACGTTCCTAACACAGTTGTTCCCGTGTTTTAGCCAACAGTGAAACCCACCCGTAGCGCAGCGCCCTGCGGCATTTGCCGCCGTACTTGTGGAGGACCGTCAGTGCGTTTGGGTAAATCAGTCCTGCGGCAGTTTGTCTGACTTAAGACAGAGCGTGCTGATCTGCTGGTGCCTCTGGTGTAAGGACTGGGAAAACCCAAATGCTCCCAAGTGGGTCTGCTCTTACACAGCCGTGTTTCAGCTGCTGCAAGACCTTTGTTCTCTTCCCAGCCACCCCTTTCCCCCTTTTACTTTCGGAAAGGAGTGGGTAGCCAGCAAGACTGTGGCTCGCTGCTCCCTGTACCATTGAACCAAGGGGGCACACGTGGCAGGGTGGCTCTTTGCAGCCATCCTTTTCCCTAGTTAGGGGCCAAACTGCCCCCAAGCCGCCAGGTTGACTGAAGGGAGGGGGTTAACCTTGTCTCCTCTTGTTCGCTCTTCAGTGAGCTAAAGCCTGTCAGTAAGCAGTGGGTGATAGCTTGGAGATGTTCTTGTCGGGTGTTTGGATCTGGTCAGAGGTGGGTGATGGGGCTGTTGGCGATGCCTGCCGAGATGTGAGGTTGCCCATGGGCTGGGTGGCCGTGGCTGCGGGGTGGACCTGGTGTCACCGCCTGGTGGCTGCAACTCCATGGAGGTTTCCAGGCCCGGGCTAAAAACGCTTCAGCTGTGTCCTCAGCAGCAGGGCTTGGTAGGAAATAACCGCTGCAGCCAACTGGGGAGGTGCAAACTGGTTGGGTTCGGTCTCTAGGCTGTGGGTTCACTGGAGACAGAAACCCTCGGGAGCGCTTCTGTCACAGGTGGTTTGATCAAACGCATCCCCGCGTCCCTTGGCTTCTGGTGCACCTGCAGTTCTGCTGAGCCAGCAGAGCTGTGGCACCGGGGGCTTGGCACCCTCGGCGGGATCCCTTTGAGCAGGTCTCCCAGATGTTTGCCTTCGGGGTCGCTGCGGTTCTCTCAAGTGCAGCTGCTCGCGGTGTTCTGCCACGGGCAGCAGGACAGAGCAGCCGGCACGGGG